ACAGTGAAACCCTGTTCATTTAAAAAAGCGCGCTGAGTGTGGTGGCCCACGCCTTTAATCCCAGAACGCAGAGGAGGATGGGTCTCTGTGAATTCAAGGCCAGCCTGGTCTACTAGAGCTAGTTCCAGGACAGGCTCCAAAGCTACAGAGAAACCCTGTCTCAAAAAACCAAAATAAGATAAAATAAAATAAGGACTGGAGAGATGGCTCAGAGGTTAAGAGCACTGATTTCTCTTCCAGAGGTCCTGAGTTCAATTCCCACAACTACATGGTGGCTCACAGCCATCTGTAATGAGATCTGGTGCCCTCTTCTTGCCTGTAGGTATTCATGGAGGCAGAATGTTGTATACATAATAAATAAATAAATAAGTCTTAAAAAATATTTCCCAGAGCTGTGTACAGTATCTGTAACGTCTATTCCTTACGTGCACAGGATAGAGGATGGGGCCTGGGTAGGGATGGAGGGGGCGGATCCTTCTGAAGGTCTGTTCACAGCATTAGAACTGAGCTCCACCTAAAAGGGCCATTTGTCAACATGGCCTCTGAGCCTTCTCCCTCCTCCCAGTTTCTCCTCTCTGTTTTTTGACACAGAGTTTCCCTCAGGCTAATCTTTGATTTCCTGTACTCCTGCCTCAGTTTCCTGAGTGCCCAGATTGCAGGATTTGACATCTTGCCCAGCTTGGGAAATGTTTCTCATGGGTATCCAAGTACTGAAACCCAAAGCCACACCGGTCTTGCAACTGCTCAGGTCTAGCTTGAGAGGAGCCTGGAGGTGGTAGATGGAGAAGACAGGAGCTTTCACCTCACCAGGTCCCCTCCCATCTCTCTAATGTCAAATTTCTCTTTACAGAGAATTCCCCTCTCAACATGGAGTGAGGAAGACAGGCGTCTGTGTGGGAAGAAGACAGCTGTTTTCTTTCCAAGGTGGAAGAAAATGGTGAGTTAGGCCAGGCATTGTAGTGAACACACAGGCACAGACACACACATCACATACACAGACATGCACACATGTACATGTTTCTACCCTATGGGCCCCAGGGATCAAATCTAGGTTAGACTCAGGAAGTGCCAGGTCCTCCTCAGCCTGCCCCAAGTCTTTCCGATCAGGCACGAAAACCAAGGCCAGGAAAGGGAGCTGCAGTTGCAGTCAGCTAAGGAATCCAAACCAGTGTGGAGAACTCTGGTTTCTTCCTGTTCCCCACTCCTTGCTCTCACCGGCTCTTTGGGAAGAGAAGTGTCAAGCCCCGCGGGGTGCGGTGGTGGGCGGCTGGAGGGGCTGGCTGCTGTCCAGCAGGGGAGGCCCTGTAAATGAGCAAGGGAGAATATTTTCATGCCTGACTGAGCCCAGGTCTCTGCAGGCTCCCCATTTCTTCTCTCCCCTTTGCCTCATAGGGAGACAAAACCCCGAAGCTAAAATCGGTGGTTTCCAGCTCTAATCTTGTTATCCTTCGTGTGAGTCCGTTTTGCTGAGTTTCCAGGTGCCCTGCACCGCAAACCCAGCGAGTGAGCGTTGGCTGGGCTCACAGTAGCAGAGCTGCCCGTCAAAGTCTCTGCTTATTTTGTTTTAAAACAGGTCTCTGTGGCTCAAGCTGGCCTGGAGACTCTTGTGGTTAAGGCTGGCCTTAAACTCTCTTAAAAAAAAAAAAAAAATCAGGCCTGGAGGGATGGCTCAGCCGTTAAAGGCTAGGCTCACAACCAAAAATATAAGAGTTCGGTTCCCAGCACCCACGGTTGTCCCTCCAGGTATTGAAAATATATATATATAAATCAGAGCGGGCTTGGTGGCGTTTGCCTTTATTCCTAGCACTCGGGAGGCAGAAGCAAGTGGAGGATCTCAGTGGGTTTGAGGCCAACCTGGTCTACAGAGCCAGTTACAGGAAAGTTAGTGCTACAGAGAAACACTGTGTGTGTATGTGTGTGTGTGTGTGTGTGTGTGCATATGGCTGCAGATGCCCACAGAGGTCAGAGACTTGGGGGTTCCCTAGAGCTGGAGTTAGAGGTTATGAGCCACCCAACGTGGGTGCTGGGAACAGAAATGCTGAACTGTTTCTCCAGCCCCTGACCTTGGACTCCCAAGGGCTGGGATCACAGGTGTGGACCACCACATCTGGATTTCCATCAAACCCTTTTGCCGCATTGGTAGGCTGCTCCCGACTGGAAACGTTGGTGCCATCTGCCTTTCCTGGCTCTCTAGAGCTCTGGGACAGGTCTCGGCTTGGTCCTAAAATATGGTGCACATGGAGACTTAATAAATTTTGGCTGGAATTTGTGGGATTTAAGACATTATGGTGATATAGGAAGACCTTTCTCAAAGAAAAAAAAAGATATTATGATGATTCTCTAAGACCCAGGAGGCAAGAAACCAGGTCAGCTAAGCCACCAGCCTTCCAATCTCCAGGGCCACCCGCTGACAGCACAGGACCAGGCCAGGCCAGGGAGAGCCTCATCTTCAGGCCAGTTCTGAGGTGACTTGCTGGGACAGTTGTGGTTAAGGTGGGCATTAGACTCCAGGAATGCTTAGGGTCAGCCTGGCTCTGACAGCCGGTCACTAGGGAGCCAAGCACTCGGAACATGTCTCCTGCCCTGGCCAGTGGGTCACCACCTGGAGTAACCACACATTATAATCCATGAGACAAGGTTGGTGTCGAGTTGGGAAAACAAGGCAGCCGGGGAGGGGGGAGGAACTGGGCCTGCTGTGGAGAGAGATCTCTAGGCCTTAGAGGCTGGTGGGTGGAGGAGCTGGGCGTGGGGGATTCTAGCCTGCCCCTCCCCCCCTGGGAGGCCGAGTCTTCAGGGCAGACAGCAGGTAAATGCATGACAAAGGTGTGTGATGGCTCTGTCCTGGGGGCAGAGAAGATGGGTGGGGTGGGGCACCTCTCGCCCTACCCTCCCTTAATCTGCCTTGGGGGCAGTTCACGGCTGCCTTGTGAACTCAGCACCAGCCTCAACTTCTGCAGATTGTCAGACTAATCGATAGAAAAGAACTACAATTCAGGCATAAAGCTAGGAAGAGGAGCAAGAAGCGAAGGTCATAATGCAGACTCAGAAGGAAGGCCAGAGAGGCCCAGAGAGACGGCTCTGAGGTAAAGGCTCCTGCCATCAACCACCAAGCCCGACAACCTGGTCTGATGAAGAAGGGGACCTCCACCCGTGCTCTGCGGTGCACGCGCACACACACACGCGTGCACATACACACACACACACACACACACACACACACACGTAGGACGTGATTTTAAAACAGTCTCTCAGAGAATAAGGTGAGCTCGTTGCTCATTCCAGTTATCCCAGCTCTTGGGAGACTAAGGCAGAAGAATTGCCCTGAGTTCAAGGTCAGCTTGGTATCTAGAGTTAGGCTCCATCTCCAAATAGTAAATGAACAAATGACAAAGGCTGCTGACTACATCAGGAGACTCCCCAAGGAACACTCAGGCTCTCATAGGCAGCTAGAGCCACTGACCCTCGCCAGCCGCCTCAGGCGGGGACGGGCCCGGGCTCAGAACTCTGGTCTGGCTGTCTACGCGGTGGGGTGCTTTGGTCCTGAGCCCTTTTGGGGCTGTGAGATCCACCCTGGGGACTTCATTTAGGGCAAGGTGTCGGTGTCAGTGCAGACAGACAAACATCATCCCTTGCAGACAGGCTCTCCGAGGGCTATTCTCTTGCAAACATAACAAGCACCAGGCCAGCCAACGGGATCCTGGAGGATTCTCAGGCCCAGAAAATCCCTGCAGGAAAGCTATGGTAGGCTTCCTGCACCCCCTCCTCCTAATCCCATTCCTTGGCATCTTTCCGCCTGTCGAGTCCCCGAAACAAAGGTATCCCTCGGCCTGGGGGGCTGGGGGAGGGGTGGGTGACGAGGCTGAACACCAGCGTCCCCTGAGGAAGGGAAGCTGGGTACCCAAGTCTGAGGCTCAGTCTTTGAGGGATTGGTGAGGAAAGCTGCCGCAGGGCTCTGAGGGGAACCTTGTGAGAGGGGACTGGGGCTGGGAGGGGGTTGGGGAGCAGGAAGTTGTCCCCAGGGGAGCCATCCAAGCCCATTCAAGGGTTGAGCACTTGTTTAGGGTTAGAGCTGCCCCCTCTGGGGACCCGGATTGTCCAGCCAAGGCCATTGTCCTGACCCTTCCCCCCCAGTCCCTCCCAGGCTTCTTTGAACCTGAAGTCAGATTTTTTTTTTCCCCTTCTACACACCTACCACCCTTTGGGTTTCTCCACCCAGGAACTAGGCTGGAGGCCTGGGATGAGAGGTGGGGGAGGGAGGACGAAACCCATCTGAGGGGTGAGATGCCCAGGCCTTGACTGTGAGGGGACCGTGGGCCTGAGTGGAGGTCTCCCAGTGGGGGGAGGGTAGTCCCTGATTGGCTTGTCATTCGCCTCTGGACAACTTAGCTTGGGAGATGTTTGGGGACATTGAGGGTTGGGGCTGAGGGTCCGGGGATGACAAACCTCTAGAGTCTGGAGGACTGGGCATGGAGTGCCAGCCTCGTCCCGCCACCTGCCCCTGAGACAGGGTGGAATACTGGGCTTTCCTAGTCTCTGGAACCTACAATTCTAGATGGGTGGATGTCCAACTGGTAGCTCACTAAAGTGACTTGAAAAACTGAGGGGTGGCCCCAGAAATACTCGGGACAGGACGTGCAACGAATGTTGGCAGCCTCTGAGAGGGTGGGGGGCAGTGAAAGGCGGAAAGGGCCAGTACCAAGCGGCTTTGGGGTGGGATGGGGGAGCCAAGCACTTGTCTCCTGAGCAATGTGGAGGTGTGGAAGGGCTCGTGGTCAACTCCAAGGTGTTCGGGGCCCACGGTAGGTGTGAGTAGACGCTGAGGGTTGAAAATGAAGGTCCCCCTGGGGTTCTGCCCTCAGGATTGCTTCCAGACACAGGCGAACACCTTTCGCCTCAGTTTCTCCCACCCCCTTGGCCCACTCCTCCACCCATCCAGGGGGCGGGGCCAGGGGTCAAGGCTAGCGGGTGGGATTGGGGAAAGGAGGGAGGGAGAGAGGTTTAAGCAGTCCCTAGGTGAGCCCTTCTTCCTTCAGGCCCCCGGCTTGGGGTGCCCGCCTTCCCTATGGCTGGACACCTGGCTTCAGACTTCGCCTTCTCACCTCCACCTGGTGGGGGTGATGGGTCGGGAGGGCTGGAGCCAGGCTGGGTGGACCCTCGGACTTGGATAAGCTTCCAAGGGCCTCCAGGTGGGCCTGGAATCGGGCCAGGGGTTGGGCCAGGCTCAGAGATGTTGGGGATCTCCCCTTGTCCCCCGCCATATGAATTCTGTGGAGGGATGGCATACTGTGGACCTCAGGTTGGACTGGGCCTAGTGCCCCAAGTTGGCCTGGAGACTTCGCAGCCTGAGGATCAGGCAGGAGCAGGAGCGGAGAGCAACTCGGAGGGGGCCTCCCCTGAGCCCGGCACTGTCCGCCCCGGTGCCGTGAAGTTGGAGAAGGTGGAACCAAGTCCCGAGGAGGTAAGTGAGATACGCCTGGGACGGTCGAGGGGACATGGCTGCGCTGGCAGAGGCAGCAGCGAAGGGAATCGGGAGCTTGCAGGACAGTCTTCCTAGCAAAGAAAGGGTTGTGGTGACTGCCTATTCCTGAGAAGGACGCGGTTTGAACTAGAAGCCAGAATTGCAAGAATCCGAAACTGGCCTGTCCTTTTTCCAGTCTGTCCTTGTCATGTCGATGGTCACTATCTGGACCCCAGTGTTGGCCGGTTTCAGCTTCTTCTCCCCCTGCACTTAGCCCTTCTGGGGACTTGGGTCTCTGTCAGACCCAGGCCCTTGGCCTTAGGTTAAACATGGCTGGAGGGTGAAAACGCTTATCTTGGAGTTCTTGTTACTCCAAATCTTGGGTGTGACTGACCGCTGATAGCTCTGGGCAGCGGAGTTGGAGTTGGGTTCACCTTCAGTCAAGTTTACGGCCGCAGACCCACGCGTGAGTGACCATTACTCTTAAGTGAACACCCCGGCACCTCCTTGTAGAGAGCTGGAGGTGCAGAGTTGATCCGTTCAGCCCTACTTCCGTAAGTTGTAAACGCACCCAGGTAGGAGATGCGATCGCTATCTCTGAGCCATTTCTTGATCGTGCTGAGTGCACGGGCTTTGCTGAGTGGTTGATGGCCTCCAGCAGCCCTGGAAGGAACCGCCGCAAAGTGCGCGGCCGCCCTCGGAAGCAAGTGTAAGCAATTAGCCGTCAGGGGACGGTGTGAGTGGACACTAGTGCCGGCCAGTAGTTCTGCCTCTTAGCAATTAGTGAGTTGGAGGCTCCCTCCCCAAGTGCCTGTTTATGCATGATCTCGCATCCTCTTAGCTACCGGGAGCCCCCTGGGAAGGCATTAGTAGTTTATCTCGTGTCTTAAGTGGCCTTAACGAAGCAGGGAGCTTGAACCGGGGTTTACTTTATTCCAAATCCACAAAGTGGGATTTAGAGAAGCTGAGGCGCCAGCTGAGGGCACTTGATCCTTGCGGAGCGAGGTTGGAGACGAAAGTCAGTCTGTTCGAAGGTGGTAAAATCTTTCTCCGTTCAAACACCTTCCGGAAGGATGTGCTATCGCGTTGGGCCGTGCCTGGCTGGCTGCTGGGTTGACCAGTCTTAACTGGAGTATCTACGATTGACCGGCACCTTCGCTCCGCCGACCCGCTCCCCCACCCACGCGCAGGCTCACTTGCGTCACCAAATGACCGCCTCCTTTTCCATCTTCTGTTAGAGATAACCCGAAATGCCTCCCGCCATTTTTATTCCGTTTACTCCGAGGCTGCGTCCTCTCTTTGGGAAGCGCGCTCCACTGGCCATCCCGTATCCCTGCCCACCTGGGCCCGACCGCCACTGCCTGCCAAGGCCTTAGTCGGGCTCTTAGTTTTCTTTTTTGTTTGTTTTCCCGAGACAGGATTTCTCTGTAACTTGGCTGTCCTGGGACTCACTCTGTAGACCAGGCTGGCCTCGAACTCAGAGATCCACCAGCCTTTGCCTCCTGAGTGCTGGGATCAAAGCCGTGTGCCACTAACCGCCCGGCCTATTTTGATTTTTCCAGACAGGGTTTCTCTGTGTAGTCTTGGCTGTCCTGGAACTCACTTTGTAGCTCAGGCTGGCCTCAAACTCACGAGAGCTGCCTGCCTCTGAGTGGAGTGCTGGAGTTAAAGATGCACCACCACCTCTGAGCCTTAATTTTAAAAACAAACATTTGTTGTGCCCGCAAGCTTGCCACCGTGCATCTGTGGGCGTCAGAGGCGGTCGTCTCCACACTGCTTATTCTGGGGATCAAGCTCGGTTTGCCTGGTTAGCACCAAATCCATATTAAAATGTGTGGTAAGGCCTTAGCTTCTGACGCATTGTCTACCATCCTAATTCGACTTGTCACCTGCACAAGCTGCCACCCTGCCCTCCTGGCTTTCTCCACAGCTCATCCCTTAGCAAGGGTTTTTTTTTTTTTTTCTCGCACTGGAATGTCAGCTCATGAGAGCAGGGCATTTGCCTGCTTTGTGAGGTGTGTGGTTTCCAAAGGAGCTCTACAGCACCGTGGATCCTGTTATCCCCAGGGCTTGCGAGACCAAGGCAGGACAGCTACCTCGCGAGTCTCTGTTTCAATATCTCCACTTGTACTGTGTCAATAGTTTGGGAACTTCAAAGCAAGCTGGGAGGGCGTGGAGTTTGGGGTCCAATGGGCCTGGTGCTCTTTATTTCTGTGGTTCCCCCTATTTTGGGCCCTAGCCCAAACTATCTATGTAGTCCCCCTGCCTCTGTTTCTTGAGTGCTGGGCTTCCGTGCAGGGATTACCTGGCTCTTTCTGTAGTCTTGAAACTAAAACTGTGGTCACATGTTGTCAATGGGACTGTTTTGAGTAATTTGTTAGCAGATGGGAATTTGCTGGGATACTGAACCTGTGTTCTAATGCAGGGGAGGCTGGGTAGTGTATGTGACCAGTTGCTAGGGAAAGGGCAATCCCTGCCACCCGAGGATAGAGAGCAAATGACCTATCAGCAGACCTTTTTCAGTGGGCGACCTGAAATGCTGAGATCTGGGGATCCCAGGGGTGGAGACCGACGGCTGGAATGACTCTCACAAGTCCTCTTTCTCGCAGTCCCAGGAAATGAAAGATCTGCAGAAGGAGCTAGAGCAGTTTGCCAAGGTGCTGAAGCAGAAGAGGATCACCTTGGGGTACACCCAGGCCGACGTGGGGCTCACCCTGGGTGTTCTCTTTGGTGGGTTTTCCTCTGCATGTTTTGACCCCAGAGCCGTCACAGCTCTCAATGTAGTTGCAAGGGGAAGGGCGTTTTAGGGGCTACCTCTCATTCACCTGTGTAGAGGGAGATTAGACATTTGAACTGCCTCTGGGGAGAGGTGGGAGCTTGCAAGGAGGGGTCTTGGAGGCCCTGCACGCTACCTTACTTTCCCTTTGGCCTGCCCGGCTCCTCAGGAAAGGTGTTCAGCCAGACCACCATCTGCCGCTTTGAAGCACTGCAACTCAGCTTCAAGAACATGTGTAAGCTGCGCCCCCTGCTGGAGAAGTGGGTAGAGGAAGCCGACAACAACGAGAACCTTCAGGAGGTGAGCTTCACGCCCCCCCCCCTCCTTCCAGGTACCAATCACACCGGCTCCTTCCATTCATCATCGCTTGAAACGCTCCCTCCGACCAGATATGCAGTTCTGTGTCTTGTGGTTGTCCGCCGTGTCGCGTCGCCCCCCGCCCCCCTCCCTGCTTCTAGTGTTGAGGATTAGAATCCAAGGCCCTAGTATTTGCTATTCAGTTTCTCTCTTCCTGGGGCCTTCTCATCCCAGGCTAACAGTTTAAGTCTGATGGAACGTAGTAGTCCCTCCTCTAACTCCCTTCTGCTAAGAAAGGCTCATAGATTTAATTTAGGTCTCCCCCACCCCGTCCAGAATTCTCTTTCATTATAAGTAATCCCTTTCTCTGGGGCCACATCCAGTCAACGCTCCCATAGCAATTTGCTCCCTTGTCAACCCCTCCGCCCGTGTCCAGATATGCAAAGCTGAGACCCTGGTGCAGGCTCGAAAGAGAAAGCGGACGAGCATTGAGAACCGCGTGAGGGGGAACCTAGAGAGCATGTTTCTGCAGTGCCCGAAGCCCACCCTTCAGCAGATAAGCATTATCGCCAAGCAGCTCGGCCTGGAGAAGGATGTGAGTGGTACCCGGGTCCTGTACTGTGGTGCCCGCCTCCCCATTGTCTTCTTTTCCCTGCCTCTGGCTTCGGCACCCGTGAGCTGATGCCAATCTTTTGTACCATCCTAGGTGGTCCGAGTGTGGTTCTGTAACCGTCGCCAGAAGGGCAAACGATCAAGCGCTGATTATTCCCAACGAGAAGAGTATGAGGCTGCCGGGTCCCCTTTCCCAGGGGGGCCTGTATCTTTTCCTCTACCCCCAGGGCCCCATTTTGGTGCCCCAAGCTATGGGAGCCCCCACTTTACCACACTCTACTCTCCAGTCCCGTTTCCTGAGGGCGAGGCCTTTCCTACTGTTCCCGTCGCTGCTCTGGGCTCTCCCATGCATTCAAACTGAGGCGCCAGCCCTGCCTGGGGATGAGGTGAGCTGAGGCCAGGGGGAGAGAGGTAGATAGGACCTGTAGCCGCCACAGCTTTGGGGTGAAGCTCCTTTGCTGAGGAGGGATCGCAGGCACAAAAAGGGTGGGGAAGATGAAGTTCAGTGCTGTTTTGATCGTGAGCCTGTAACTCATCATTTTGTTCTTAAATGATAAATAAAGCCTGGGACACTCTAGATTGCTAAACTGTGTCTTCCTTTAGTTACTAGGTAGCCTGGGGATGGAGAAATCCAGTAATGGAGACTCATGCCCAGGCAGCCCTCAAATAAAGGCGCCTGCAAACCTTTGGAGGTTACGAAATGCCAAAGGGATAGCTGGGATTGGAACTCAACCTGCAGAGGAAGATAGGACATACTTGCTGGTTCTTTAGATTGATCATAGCCATTGTTCACCGGCAGCTGGCCTTGTGCCGTGGCACTCTGGAAGTCCTAATGGACTTAACCTATTTCTTCTGTATGAGTGCCTTTGGGGCTTATTTGTTTATTTTTGTGCACTGTGTAAAGCGACAGTGGAGGTCACTGAAGCCCCTGGAATTGGAATTAAAGGTTGTGAGCAGCCATGTAGGTTCTGGGAACCAAGCCTGGGTCCTCTGCAAGAGCAGCTATTGCTTTTTTTTTTTCCCCCCTAGACAAGGTTTCTCTTGTGTCGCCAGGCTGTTCTGGAACTCTGTAGACCAGGATGGCTTCTGCCTTTATAGAGTGCTGGGATTAAAGGTTGTCTATCCATTGCTCTTGCTGCTAACTGCTGGGCCATCTCTCCCACCTAAAAACCAAGTCTTGAAGCACTTTTTTTTTTTTTTTTGCTGCCTGTCAGCCCCACCAGAACTCTACCCTATATATATTATGTGTGTGTGGTGTGTTGTTTTTTTAAAGATTTTTTTGGTTTTTCCAGACAAAATTTTTCTGTAGCTTTGGTGCCTGTCCTGGAACTAGCTCTTGTAGTCCAGGTTGGCCTCTGCCCCCCGAGTTGTGGGATTAAAGAGCATGCACCACCACTGCCCAGCAAAGATTGGTTTTATTATATATGGAGTGTTCTGGCTGCATGCCAGAAGAGGGCACCAGATCCCATTATAAATGGTTGTGAGCCACTAGTGGTTGCTGGGAATAGACCTCGGGGGACCTCTGGAAAAGCAGCTCTGAGCCATTTCTCTGGCCCCTCTGTGTGTGCGTGTGCGAATCCTTGAGTACCACAGCACCGGGGACAATGTGTGAACGTCTCTTTCCTTCCATAACGTGGGTCCTGTGGCTCCAGCACGGTCATCGGGCTCAGCAGCCAGCGCCTTCACACACACATCATTCCCACAGGTGCTTCTGCTACAGGGAATTCCATCTGCGGACCACACCAGGTCTAGGCTTCCCAGCATTTGGAAAGCGGGCTTAGACTCAAGGATAGATAGCCCCATGTGGATGAAGCAAATTTGTTTTTATTTGAAGGCAAAGCTCTGAAAAGCCAGTCACAGAGACCCAGTCAGCTGCAGTGCTAGCCATGGTATAAGGAAGCCCTGGGGTGATCTCTACCTCCAGCGGCAGGTAACTCTGGTGTCCATGGGAACGAGGTGTGATTCCTTGTTACTGGGCATTCCAGCTCACTGGGAACTTTGCCACACCTTTGGCAGGAAATCACCTTTTATTTTGTCACCTCAGCCATGAGGGTTCTTCAGCCTTGAGTCGGAGTCTATGGATTTTTCCTGTGCTCATTCCCTCCTTTGGAGAAAGGAGACATTTCTCAAGATCCATTCTTTTCCAAAAACTGAATGTTTTGCCTGTATATATGTATGTGATGTGCTTGGTGGCCAGAGACCAGCAGACGTTGGATCCCACGGGACTGGAGTGAGCTGAGAGCAACAAGCGCTCTTGATCACTGAGCCATCACTGCGGTGTGAGTTCCACTTACACCCTCCCTAAACTGGAGGAGCCACATCTGCTTCCTTGGCCTGCAAAGCCCAAGGTGTGAATCCAGCATGGCATCCTGGGTGGCCAATGAGGTCATGAAGTACCAGACAACACCGCCACCCAAGGCTACTGTCTTGTGGGTAGCCGCAAAGGTGCACGAGGCTCCCCACTTCCAATGACAGTAGGAGCCATGGGAGAGTTCCTGAGTATCTTGTAGTCTAAGCCTCTGGACCTAGAGCGGCACCACAAGGGGCTCCAGGCCTGTGGGGAGCAGGAGCTGGGAGGGTAGGGGGTGCTAGCAGAGTCCATGCCTAACACAAGGTGACGCCTGGAATCCCAGCAGGACACATCAGCTTCCATTCTGAGTGCCCTGTCCTGACCTTCCTTGGGGAATTTGAGGCTATTCTGGGTTATACAGGGAGACCCTTTCGTCAAAAGCAAACAGGGTTAGGAAGATGGCTCAGCTGATCTTCCAGAGGATTTGGGGTTTAGTGGCTAAACCCCTGCCCCACAGTTCCAGAGGATCCAACGCCTTCTGGCCTCAGGGTACTGCATACACGGACACAGACATCCTAAGTTGACCTGTTTACTCTAGTTTTTGTTTTGAGAAGGGGTCTCAGTATGGATCAGGTTGGTTTCACACTTTGCAATCCTGTCTTCTGCCTCAACTATCCAGTGCTGGGATTAACGGTGTTTTATGTAAGTCAGGTGCATGCTAGGTAATGTCCCAGTGAAGCACTCCTGTGCCCCGCCCCCTAGATTGGTTTTTTTGTTTTTTTAATGGTTTAGTTCTAACCCTTACTCCTGCAACCTCACACATTTCCTGCATTTATAGATGAAAGCTAACCCAGATATGTTAACCCTGTGCCTCTCATCCCTGCCTTCTAAGACTTCAGTCTCGGGGCTGTCTAGGGTGTGAGGTGTTGACAGAAGGCTAACTTACCCACTGGACACCAGAGCGGCTTTCTCCATGCGGAGCTTCTTCCTGGGCTCCATTAGGACGGACAGGGGGCACAGGGAAGCCTCGCTCTCATCATCGAGTTCCGCCAACACTCTGTGAGCTGATTTCCTCCGGTTCCTTGTGGGCGGAGCAGGCAAAGCTCCCACTTCCCCAGGCCGGGTGGGAGCAGCCAGGCTTTGTGGTCTGCCTCCACCCCTGGAGAAGGTGAGGGGCTGGGGCTGCAGCTTGCTGAGGCTGCCGATGGAGTTGAGGATCAGTGTGGCCTTGGGGGCAGAGGAGAGGGTGCTGAGTGGCCGCTGGGGTGCCCCCTGAGGGGGCACCATGGGCTGGAAGCCGGCCCCAGCTTCTCCCCTAGACCGAGGGACAGTGATGGCGGCGAAGTCCTGAGGTTTGACCCGGACTTGTTGGAACATGAAGTAAAATTCCGAGGAGCTGGTTCCTGCTTGCCCTTCGGGACCAAAGGTCAGAAGGTCACCATCGTTTAGCTCCAGCCTGTGGCCTCTTGGGAGTCGGACATTATTGACCAAAGTCCCTGTTGATGATGAGGCACAAGACAAATGACAAGTACCATGACCTGGCCATTTGGTTTTCAGGGGAGACGGGGGAAGGCCCACGAGTGGGAGGTTTTCTGGCTGTGTTCCTGCTTGAGCAGATTTATGAGCAGATCTACCCCTAAACAGCTCCCATTCTTATATTTTTGAGACAGTCTTAATCTGTTGTCTAGACTGGCCCAGAACTCACAACCCTCCTGTCTCAGCCTCCAGAGCGCTGAGATCACAGGGCGTGCGAGCACTCACACACACACACAGTCATACTTGCCGCCTGCTGTCCTTTCCCAGCTACGTACTTTCCCACTGCTGTCCTTTCCCACGCTGGCCCGTAACAGTAAGCGCTCACGCTTACTGCTGGCTGTTACAGACTAATGCCAAAAACCTCAGATGAGGCTTCTCCAAACCTTGCGTCTGACCTAATATAGGAAACTAAGAACAGGAGATGGAGGAACTGTGGACTTTTGAGGCTGCCTTGGGCTGGGTGGAATGCCTAGGTCACCTGAACACTGCCTTCATGGGAACAAGGTGCTTCAGTAACCCTGGAAACTGAGTCAAGTCTGAGTTTAGTACTAGAGTGTCCTGCTGCGACGCTTTACAGATGACAACACCCCAGCGCCTCCCCTCCCTCCTAGCCCAGCATGAGCCAAAGCAGCCGAGCAGGTTAGTCCTGGGAAGAGTTGACTGCACAGCTCTGACAGCAGACCAGACCTGATCCTGTTTGTCCGTTTGCCAGACACTGAAAGAGAGGCTGGGAGGTAGATAGCGGGGTCCCAAAGATTCTCCTACTTATGCCAACCTGGGGCTGCCTGCTCACCGCTTACCTTGGCTGCTGTGGTCCTCCAGGCTGACTCTCCAGTCGTCCCCTTGGAGCTCAGCATGCAGCTCCGCATGGACCCCAGAGATGAGGCCCGGCTCCTGCTGGGGCCGCAGGGCCACATCACACAGGTCAGCCCTGCAGCCCAACCGGTAGGTGCAGCCCGACCTGGATGGGGGGTGGAAGGTGTAGAGATCACCGCCCCTGCCGCCCCCTATGCGCAGCAGCTGGAAGCAGGGCAGCATCGGGGGTGCTCCCTCGGCACCACTTCTGCCACCTCAGCAGCTCATCACCGCCCCTGCTCCTGAGCTATGCACCGCGGGCTTCAGTTCAGTGCTAAGCGACGTCAACAGCTGTACTGTGGGCAATGCCAACTTGAGAAATAACAGATTCAGGGCGCCAGAGGCGGTAGTGGCTGTCAGGACGAGACTTAAAAAGCAATTCCAGGAAAGTCCTGATGCGATGCAAAACCAGGAAGACGTCCTGCGGGACCTCGGGGGAGCCGGATTCTCGGGCCGCAGAGCATCCGGGGAGGCTTTAACAATCTGTGCAAGGCAAAGCTACTTTAAGCGGCAGCTGGGAACATGCAGACGGGGTGGGGAGGCCCTGCGACACGAACGTGCGTGCGGCACGGACGTGTCCCCTCTGGTGTAGCCAGGAGCCGGGAAACTTCCTAATCCAGGTAGAGCACCCCTTCTGTCCGCCCCCGCTCTTCGGTCCCCCGAGGGAAGAGAATCCGCTGTCACCCACAAAAGGCGGCGCAGACAGGTCCCTGATACTGCAACAAAGTGGATCTCACCCTTTACTTTTCCGCTTGCGGGGTAAACTGAGGAAGGGACTCCACACCCTGCGCCCCTCGCTCCCGCTGTGGTTTGACAGCC